GGCCGGTGGCGTCGGCGCTGGCGCCGATCCACGAGAGCGGATACGCGCCCGGGCCGGCGGCTCGGGCTGAGAGTGGGCGGCGTGTGAGTGGCGCAAGCGCGGACCCACGTGCGCGGCCGCCAATATACCGCAACTCGTCGCTGCCAGCCAAGCTCGGCATTTCTTCGTACACGGTGCCAATCAAGCCGCTTAAGCGAGTCTCGACGCCGGTGCTGGCGGTGACCGGGCTCGACGAGATTCGGGTCGAGGCTGACACGCTCTTCAACATCTTTTGCGGCTTTGGACATGTGCGGGCCATCGGGTTCCCGGCCGACGACGGAGTGCCGGACAAGGTGCTAGTGGAGATGGGCATGACCGAACACGCACAGCTCGTGGCCAAGCACCTCCACGGCATGCCGCTCTTCTCGGGCATGCTGCGCGTGGAGGCCGGGCCGGACGGCGTGACGTCGCTGGAGGCAGTCCGCAACGCGTACATCGTGACCAAGTACTCTGCGTCGCCGCTCAACCCGTTTGCGGCCAACATGGCGTCACACTCGCTCGAGAAGCGCATCAGGCCGCCGTCGGAAATGCTCCTCGTCTCGCACCTGCCCAAGACTGGCGTGACCGAGGAGCTTCTCGCGCAGCACTTTGAGCAGTGCGGCGGAACAGTGACCACGGTGCACATGAAGAGCAAGCGGCGGGCGCTCATCACCTTTGCTACTCTCGCCAACGCGGTCAACGCGCTCGCGCTCCTTAACGACGTCGCGCTCGGCGGGCGGCATCTGCGGCTCTCGTTTGCGCCGGCATGAGCGCAGAATAACAAGCACAACAGTATGGTTCAGCTTTACGCATGTGGTAGGGCGGTCAGAATCGCCGACGTTCGCGCTTGGAGCGCGGGCCGCGGCGCGGGTCGGCGTCGGCGGCGGCGTCGCGATCGCGGTCATCGCGGTCGCGGTCGCCCGCAGCGTTGCGGTCGTCACGGTGGTCGTCGCGGGCGCGGCGGTCGCGCTTTGAGCGCGAGGAGTTGGGGTTGGCGGCAGCGGCGACGGCGTCGACGTGGGCGGCAGTGGCGGCCTGCAGCTGGCTCAACACACTCGCCGGCACGTCCCAGCAGCCGGCGCGCGGAGCGGCCGCGTTGATCTTGCTGTGCGGGACGCGGGCAGGAGGGAGGCGAAAGGCGAGCGGGAGCGGATCGGCAGCAGCAGCGTCAGCTGGAAACGGAAAGGCAACGCCAGCATCGTCCACAGTGGCAGTCACGCCTCTGGCGTCCAGCAGAGCGCGGCTCTGGCCCGGCTGCGAGTACGGCTCTACAGTGAGCTTGGCATCGAGCGCGGGAGCAACAACATGGATGTGGGCAGCAAGCTCATCCAGCTCGTCTTGCGCAAGAGCCGCCGAAGCCGGCGGATCATAAGCATCTCCCGGCAGACCAGGCGCAGAGCTCGGGACGGGCAACGATCCGAGAGCGGCGATGTCATCAATGTCTGCCCGGCTCGGAACCGGATACGCCTGCGGGCGAGTGATGGAGAGCTTGGCAGCCGAGTACACGCCCGAGACGACGACGGGAGCAGCAGCGGGTGGCGATGAGCGAGCGAGATGCATGCGGGCGAGAGAGCTGTCCGAAGTCTTGGTGTTGTTCCCGGACATGTTGGGGATGGGCGAGGTTGGGGTGTGGGGCGTGGCCGGCGTGGACGGGGTGGGGGTGCGGACGGTGGTAGTGGTAGTGGTGGTGGTGGTGGTGGGGGTTGTCGTCGTGGGTGTCGTCGTGCGTCCCTTTCTCCGGCGGGCGGTGGTCATGGACAGAGTCGGGAGTGGCAGGCGGTTGGCGGGTTGGCTGACGGTGAGTGGCAGGCGGTTGGCGGGTTGGCTGACGGTGAGTGGTGGGCGGTTGGCGGGTTGGGTGAGTGGTGGGCGGTTGGCGGTAGAGTGGTGGGCGGTTGGCTGCCGACGGGTGGCTGGCGGTTGGTTGGCTGGTTGGCTGGCGGTTGGTTGGCTGGTTGGCGGTCGGTTGGTTGGTTGGTTGGCTGGTTAGCGGTTGGTTGGTTGGTTGGCTGGTTGGCGGGCGGTCGGTTGGTTGGTTGGCTGGTTGGCGGGCGGGCGGTTGGTTGTGGCATTGCGGTGGTTTGGCGCCGCTGTTCACCACATCACCCACGCGGCGGTCGAGACAGAGGAGTTAGAGTAGAGTGATACTACACTTGGCCTAGCGAAAGTTGGCATGCTTATAGGCTTACAGCCGCGCATATGTGTGATGCTGTTGCTGTTAGGCTTGCTAGTCATGACAGTGCCTGCGGCTGGCACAAGTACGTCATGGCGATGAGTCGGGCGTCAGAGGGGGGATCAGCTCGCCGTCTGCCATCGATTGTGGAACATAGTCAGAATCGTTAGCGGCGGAGGGGGTCCTGGACTCATCCATGGGAGATGATGTGGATGTGGGTGCTGTGCTCGCGGGTGTGTGTGTGTGTGTGTGTGTGGCGGGCTGTCGGGCGATGTGGCGGGCTTTGATCAGATTGTACGCTGGTGCCTCGTTGCGGACTCTGTACGGCAGCGAATGCGGAGACCACGACGTGCGGATGGTGCAACGCGACGGCGTCGTGTGTGGGGCTTGAGCTGATCGATGGCGTGTTCCGAGGCGACTGCCCCGACACATCGGCGTTGTTTACCTTTCGCATCAACTGCAAGGACTCGACGCCACTCGACGGCGGATCGGGCCGCGAAAGCATGGGCGCGTGGATTGACGCGTACATCGGCATGGCTTGGTGGATTCACATGGTGTACATCCTCGCGCTTGTCATCTGCATCATCATTGTTGTTGCCTTGTGCTGCATCCGCACCATCTCGAAAAGAGAGAAGGAGACGCGTGAGGAGCGGGCTGTGGCCGCACAAGCACGCGGGCAAGACACCATCCGCAGACTAGTCAGCGCAGCGCAGTCGGCCGAGACCGCGCGGGCGGCAAGTGGCGAGACGCTGCCGGATGCCACCGCACCGGTGGCGCCGGCGAGTGCGGCGGCAGCGAGCGCGAGTCCCGGTCCGGCTCAGGTGCGGACCGGCGGCGACTTGCATCTGTTTGAGAACCGGATGTTGGTGCCCGACATGCGAAAGGAGGCCGAGGAGCGCGACCGCATGCACCAGGAGGCACTGCGGCGAGCGGCGCGGGTGGAAGCGGGGAAGGAGCCCGGGTCGGGCGGATCGTCGAGCTCAGAAGAGGACATCGACGCCGCGCTCCTTGATCTTGAGCAGCTCGACCTCGACGTCGACGCCATCGCGTTGCTCCAGCGGGAGGACTCGGCAACGCTTGCCCGCGACATGCTCAACGACTCGGCATCGGCGGCATCGGTCGATGGCATGGTCCCCAACCGGAGCAACCATGACATGTCGTCGCTGCTGCGGCAGGCAACCAGCCAAATGCGCTCGCAATCTAGCCTCCGCGAGCTCCAAGCCTCGTCGCCTGGCGGCGCAGACTCTGATTCGGCTGTCGACCTCTTGCTCAACCTCAACGTCGCCACCCCGCAGCGGATGCGGGTGGCTGCCCATGGCGGGTCGCACGAAGACGAAGCCTCGTTCTCATACTCGGCGAGTACCTCGAGCGACCATCACGATGTCACTGTTGATGGGTATAGGATGGCAACATGCTCGTCGAGCTCGGGCTCAGGCTCCGGCTCGAGCTCGGGCTCGAGCTCGGGCTCGAGTGCGAGCTCGACACCTGCTTCGGCGACCTCAGAGCTCTAGGCTAGTCTTAAACCCCCCCTCTGTACCTAGACCAACCACCTGCTTCGACGGTGTAGATGACAGGTTTAACCGGTTGTGGGCGACGGCACGGCTACAGGCTGGCCGCTGCGCACTGGCGACTGAGGACATCGCGCGATGCCACAGTCATGCCAGGCTCACCTGTGCTTCAGGACACAAACCGACTCCATAACCAAACGCGGGATGTCAGACTGGAGCTCGCAAAGCTCCTTGTCCATGCATTCATACTCTCGCCTGCCGTCGTCGTCGTCATCCCGGCCGCGCTTTCTGCCAGTGAAGGCATGCGAGCCTGATCGCGAGGACGTGGACGAGAGTGTCCATGCCTCCAAGGTAGCAGAGCGGCTGTCAAACTCGGCCAAGATGACTCCGACCAAGGCCCCGTTCAGAGACGGGCCCGGAGGCTGTGCTGGGTCGGCATCAGTGCGGCAGTCGGACTTGTTCGCTAAAGCACTCAGCGCGGCCCAGTCCAGAGGCTGGGATGGCGGCGAGGTAGCCGGCACCGGTGGGCCACCAGTAACAGTCTTGCTGCCCCCGGTCTCGATAGCCTTGGGCGAGCCACCACCCAGGTACTTGACAATCGCCTTGAGCTGTTTGGTACACGGCTGGGCGCACGCGCTGGCCAGGGTACCGTGATGGTCGCTCAGCATGGCCTTGATAGCCTTCATCGCGATCGGCGCCGCTCACCATGACGTCATCCCTATTCCACTCGGGGCTGAGCACGCACAGGAAGATCTGGATCATCTCAGGCTTGACCAAGCGAAGTGCATTGGAAAAGGCGTCGTTAGCCTTGCCCTTCTGGGGTCCATACGTGGGGAGAAACGTGTGCAAAGCAAGCAACAGCTGCCGGGACAAAAACAACCACGGGCATTGCGTCCAGACCAGCGATGTCCTTGAATACCCACACGAGAAGCCCAGCGAGAGACACAGCTGCGAGGTATTCTTCGGATGTCTCATTCAGTGTCGCAGACGAGGCCTTGGATGAGGTGGAAGACTTGGTCATGCTGGACTGGACGGCGGGGGGGGGGGGGGGGGAAAGGTGAGCAAGGTTTGGGTGGGGGGTGCCAAAATATTTTTTGTGCTGCACCCCCCCCCTTGGCCAGCTTGGTTGACCATTTCGCCGCACGGCGGCCACAGGTGTCTGGAGCCACCACCTCGAAAACAAAGAGCG